TCCCCGCGCCCCTCGAGCCCCTAGAAGCAAATCGGTTCCACGAAACCATCTCAAGGGCGGGAGGGACGGGGAGGGAGTGTAGGTGGCGGGAGAATCGAATGGAACTGGATGGGAGCTCAGTCGAGGTTCGCCCTTCCCCTGCCGCCCGCCAGCGCTGCGGCGTCGGTCAAGCTACTCACCCGCGTTTCAGCTGCCCCACGAGCGGCTTGGATGAGAATTTTTCCGGAGCCCATCCGAGGGCCCCTGGGCGTCTGTGCCGCTTTCGGCCTGGAGGCTTTCCCAGATTCGCAAAGGGGCTGGACTGCTGTTTGGCCTGAGTCTGGGTAGGAAATTCCCGGAGGCATGGAGCAATGGTAGGGCCGCGGTAGCGAAGTCCGTGCCGTCGCCGGCCGCGGGACACCGAGAGGCTGGACGGAGCCCGGGACGCCGAGGGCGAGGAGGCTGAGAGGACGGGACGTTGGGAGAGCATCTCCCTCCTGTCGTTGCCCCGGAGCTGCCTGCTGTGCCCGAGGCGGGGACGATCCCCGCCCTGACCTCCGCCGAACTGCTTCGTTCAGGGAACACTCCTTTAGCGGGGCCCAGCGCCGGGGCCGCGAGGAGGCCCAGAGGCGCACCGGGAATAATTACCGGCGTCGTCATAGCAACCAACAGTTGTCATGCCACCAGCCCCTTGGAACTGCAGCCTCTTAGCTGAGGTTGGGGTCCCCGGGAAACATTATCCGAGCCTCTGAGATGCGCACGCAGGGAACTTATCGCGCAGCGCTCCCGGGAACCACGCGGTGAGCGAGTCAGAAGCTCGCAGAAACTGAAGGGCGTTGGGAGTCCTGGCCAGGTCCATAGGACCTCAGGAGCTGAGATGGGCCTTCAGAGTGTCCTCAAGAAATGGGGCTGGAGCTGAAAGGGGGGAAGGGGACATCAGAGGCTTTTGTTTTGTTTAACATTTTATTATGGAAAATTTCAAGTATACACCAAAGGAGAGATTAGTTTAACAAACCACCATATACCCATGTTCTTGGTTAAAGTTTTTCCCTCCAAAAAATATGTTGGAGTCCTAACCCTCAGTAGCAACGAATGGACCTGATTTGGAAATAGGGTCTTTATAGAGAAAATCAAATTAAAATGAGGTCATTAGGTGGCCCTGATCAAGTATGACTGGTGTCCTTATTCAAAGGGGAAATTTGGACATAAGAGACAGACACCCACAGAGCACAGACCATGTGAAGACCCAAAAAACACATGTGATGATGAAGGCAGAGATCACAATGATTCATCTACCAGGTAAAGAATACCAACGATCGTCAGCAAACCATCAGAAGCTGGGAGAGGCACGGGCAGATTCAGCCTCACAGCCCTCTGGGGGAACCAGCCTTGCTGCTTCTAAGTCCGGGACAGGAAATCCCAGGGCAAAATACCTCTGAAATCCGAAATCAGTCAAAGGGAGAAATAGAGTTTAAAACCCGTTTATTGCTTACATAAACTGCAGTCCAGCTGTCCCCTTCTCCCCTGTTCCGGAAGAAGCAAGCAAGCAAGCCTCTCCCCTTAACCTCTGGGGTTCAGAGACGCCCTCCGTTGCCCAGGTAATTACCCATTGACATGGAGATGAGCTCTCCACCCCTGAGGATAAGCAAACGCACCAAAGCCAGGTGAGATATTCTGGAAATAATACAATTTCACCTACACTGGCACATTGAACTTGGACTTGGGCCTCTAAAACTGAGACACTTTCTGTTGTTTGAGTCCCCCAGCTTGTGGCATTTTGTTCCAGACAAGCTAATACAACCCACCACCAAAGTTCAACTCCAGCCACATCAATTTCTTCTCAGATGATTTTAAAGGCAGAAGTGAGGAGGAGACATTCCCAACAGAAGGCCATCCCGGACCAGGGTGCATGCTGGGGCGGGGACAGATAGCACCGTAGTCTCAGGGTCCCTCTGGAGGAACTTGAAGTGTTTTGGGGATGGAAGACAGGCTTGGGCTGGCCTGTCCTGGGCCGCTGCGGCCCCGTCCACTGCAGAGGCCAGGCCAAGCCTTACTAACTTTCCCCTGAGTCTTTGCATTTACTCCTGACAGTGGCCATGATCACACAGTTATACAGTTTCAACATGAGTACACAAATTATACAAAGCTGCCTCTTTTTCCTCCTCCATTCCAATCTAAATAAGCCCAAATCAGTTTAAACTGAGATCAACAGAGTAAAGTTGGTGGGGATCTGACCTCACTTCATCTTTTTTTCTGACACGTAACTTTCCTCTTCTGCTTTTTTGATTTTGAGTTTTATAGCACTTTTCTTCCAAATGCTCTTAGGTGCCTGTGTGCCGTGTTTTGTCCTTGAGGCTGAGCCCTGGAAGCCACAGCCTGGCCTCACTGCCTCCTCGCCTCATCTGTTCACGCCTCAGCGCTCCATGACAGGTTTCTGACCCTGTCTCCCCAGGGAAATGAGCCACCTCCTCACTTCTCAAGCTTCAGTTTCTGTTGTTCTCTCTGCAGTTCTGTCTAAGGCTCCTTTGTAAGCTCCCTCCCCTTGCCTGTCCAGTACACACCGGAGGGCCTCAGGATCTCACCTCACACTACATGCCCTCCCGACAGACCACATTCACCTCCACAGCATCACTTGCCACCAGTATGTCCATGCTTCCAGTTCTAAATCTCCATCTGTAAGAGCACTTGTTATTATGTCATATATAGAAGAGGATGTAAGCTATCTATGACATTTTAAAGATTTGTAAAAATAAAAAGGCAAGCTACCTGTATGACTATAACAGAGGAAAACTAAATCAACTCCCTGGGTTTAAAAGTTAACGCTAAGGAGAAAGAACCTTCCTACA